ACCAGTTGGATCTCAGCACTAGTTGTATGTGAACGAGTCCACCCTCCATCCTTATTCTATTCACATTTTACACACTGTTGATGTGAAATTCTACCTGGGCTTTACTTTCAATTCACCTGAATGACACAAGAGCAGATTGACTATGTAACTGAAAAAAATGAAATTCTTTCACAACTATTAACAGAAAGTATCAACACTAATAAAAATAGGAAACAGAGTCCCATTTGGCATGGCTTTATTCAGTGGAAAAGGCAAACATTTGCACATGGCAAGCCACAAATGGATAAAAGCTCCAATGAGAACTTCATAAGCCATCTGCTAGTTGCCTAATGAGGCCAGTAACTATCATTGTTTACAGTCGAACACTGGGGGTCATGGATTTTTGCTGTAATGAAGGAGTCAATGCATCACTGCGGAAACGAAAAGAGAACTTATTCTTGCAGAAGGCTAATTATAAATACAATAAAAGAACAAATTATCCCCCCCAAAATCTGCTCAGGTCTACAGAGAAATTGAACTTGGAAGGCAAGATGCAAAACCATGAAGCATTGTTTTGTTTTCCATTGGTCTCATGTCTAGTTTTGACACAAAGGAAATTACAGATTTTTTTCCTTATTACTAATGAGCAAGGATTATTTCTTTCTAAGTCTCAGAACCTCTAATGTCATTTAGATGTGTTATGTTTCAAACCTAGGTTGTTGTGGGTTTTTCCGAATGCATCACAGCGCTCCAACCTGCTCATAGCTTCCCCATTCAAAACAAAGTCAAGGACAATTCAATTTGTATGGGCTGCCCTGGACTTTGTTTTGAGTGATGATTTGTACTTGCTAGAAGTTCTACATTAGAATACACACAGAGCTCTGGACCAGGCTACAGATTTGTCACCCTTTCATTCTGTTTCTATTGCCTGCATGTTGGTCTACAAACAGAAGGAGCGAGCTACTAGGGATAAGAAGTGAAAAATACATAGCAGAGAAACAATTTTAATGGGATTAATACATACATTTTAATGACCACAAGATAATAAAATTCAGAATCTAAAGACTGATAAAAGAAAGCAAATATCTAAAATGGAAAGTTTGATAGGCTGTCAGTGATCTTGAACCATTTCAAGATATCTTCCTGAAGAGAAAATATGGATTCAGAGCTTCAGCAATCAAACATATTATACAAGACAAGTTGAAGTTCTGCAGATTCCTGGTGCTGGGTCACCTCAGACGTTCAAAATACATATTCTGTGATAAAAATGTTTGAAATATTGAAAGTCGTGGTGGAAAGATTCCTCAAGGGACGCTCTTTACATACAGTACATGTTTTTGTATAGTTGATATTTGAGACCCTCACAGAGTACTCCAGGAAGCAATTCGCAATCTGACTCAATCTGAGATTGTTCATACATTACAATGTACAATATAGTTTTAAACCAGGTAGGCTGTAATCCAGGAATGGGGACCTGTGACTCTCCAGATGTTGTTGGACTCCAATCCTGTCAGTTCCAGGCAACATGACCAATAGCCAGGGATGCTGGGAGTTGTAGTCTAGCAACATCTGGAGGGCCAAAGGTGAGCCACTTTTGATGTGGTCATTATCAACATAGTTCTAATGTGACGTCAACTGAATAGTGTTTCTGTGTTGCAATTACACACCCCATGCAGTGTATTTATATATTCAGACCTACCTCAGTGGAGATTCTAAGCATAGCTGTCAACTTTTCCCTTTTCTTGCGAGGAATCCTATTCGGAATAAGGGGATTTCCCTTTAAAAAAGGGAAACGTTGACAGCTATGATTCTAAGAAGGCATTAGATTTACTCACATGTGCACAATTTGCACTGACTTGCATTGATGAAGAATCACACACACTGTGAAAATTGGGCATTCTACACGTAGAACTACTTTTTTCATTATTTAGGCTAGTAGAGGAACTACTTTCTGGTTATATGCAGTGACAAAGATGCAAATATGGATCAGATGCAGGACTAGAGGACAACAGGAATAACATTCAATTTTGTCCATTCAAGATAAATTAATCCTGAATAGCCCCCATCCCCATATTCCATATTTACAATCCACCATACACATCACAATTAACATTTCATAACACCACCATTTTAATTTCATAAACCCCGTGATTGTGTGATCAAAATGTAAGTTAACCATGTTAAGTTATCTTGGGGAGTATTCAACTAAGTTTAACTCTGTGTAGTACTGAAATTAATGGGCCTAGCTTTGTTGTGTTTATTAATTTCAATGTATCTGCTCTGAGCAAATCATAGTTGAGTGCCACCCATTTATTACGCAGTGGTACCTTGGTTCTCAAACTTAATCCGTTCTGGGAGTCCATTCGACTCCCGAAACCATTCGAAACCCAAGGCACGGCTTCCGATTGGCTGCAGGAGCTTCCTGCACTCAAGCAGAAGCCGCGTCGGACGTTCGGCTTCCAAAAAACGTCTTCAAACTGGAACACTTACTTCTGGGTTTCCGGCATTCGGGAGCCAAAACGTATGAGTACCAAGGCATTTGAGAACCAAGGTTCTGTAGTAAGCTGGGGGGGGGACGGGTCCTGCTTTTTTATTTGAAAGTTGGCAAAGGAAAGCCTAGATTTCACATTATAATTTAGAAATATTAAAGTAGAAACTGATCACCACAAATGGATTTCATTTCTTGCTATAGCAGTGGTTTGGTTTTTTCCTCCCTCTTTTTCTTGGTGCCTATAAACTGTTTTCTCTGCAAAATGCATGAGACAATGCTTATTTACCTAAATTACAGGGAAATGTGTGAGGATGTACTTACTTACTTAAATTATAGGAGTCACTCAAGGATTAATTAGTTAATTAATGTTTGCAAACTGTTCTACATGGGGAAAATGTAGTCGGTAAGTGTCAATTATTAAATCACAGGTTTATCTGGCTTTACAATTGAACCCCTAATAAAGCAAGTTACATAATAGTTACAGGTTTGAAAAGCCACTCTTACTGTCTAAAAGATATAAAGGTTTTAATTAGCAGAAGCCTGGAAAATGTTTTTCAGGAGAGAGAGAAACACCACTAAATATTATTAAAGGTTTCTTCTAATGAAAATAATAAGAAAATATAAACTCTCAGAATGCAACTATTACTTTGAGATCTATTACCTAAGGGCTTAGCCAGTGGGAATATTAACTGTGTTTGACAAGCTTTTCCTGAAAATAATTATATTTGTCAAATAAATGGTGAAAACCGAAAGCTATTTGTAGTATATATGCCATAATTTTAAGCAATGTTCAGAAGCAGAAGCAGATTAAAGAGCCATTCCTATTCAAGAAAAAATAAGATTTAGTGCACCTTAAAACATTCTGCATAATGCTACGAAAGGACACTTTAACATATATTATTTAGGCACTATAATGCATAGTAATGCCTGAGTAGTTAAGGCTACAGTGGAACTATAGTGGAAGATAAAAGAGGGCCTGATCCTATCCATTCCAAGTGCAGTACCTACACATAGAGGATTCTAATAGACTCAATGGAGCCTTGTTTCCTTCTTCCCCCCTATTTTCATATGTGCATACACGTCTGTGAGCAGGCAAAAGGAAGGATCTGCAGGATGCGCCGATCTTCCACATCCCCATCTAACTTGCTCCTTCTCTCACTTCTGACTTGCTCTGAGCAGAAGGCGAGGCTAGACAGGGTGAAGGGGGATTTGAACATGTCCTCCTATTTACCCTGAGAGCTGCCACTTGAATTGCAAGGACAGTCAGAGGGGAACTGGCCCACTTATCTTTCTTATGATCCCTTAGCTAAAGTTTTTAGAAGGATGAAGGCTAAAGTTGGAGGGATTAGTGGGGTGGGATTGTGGATCAAGCCCTCATAACCTTCCTCCCCTAATTCGAGCAGTCCTAGTTTTGCCTGTTCATGCACCTGGCCGCGGGCACCGACAGTGGGAAGGTGAGACAAGGTCAGATGAGAATCCTGGTTGTCTGAGTACTGAAACTACACTGCAGAGGGTGTGTGTGGATGAAACTGGGTGAAATCTCCTTCTAGAAATTTGCTGTACATGGACTACATTGTTCCCTTAACACTTCAAAAAACACATGGCCAGTTTTAATGAAATGTTGTAGGTACCTTGTATCAGGTACAATCAATATTAGATCTTGGAAGCTAGGCATCTGTTTCCCATTCCCTATGCCACCATGACAGCTGATCAGAAGAGGGAGCTGTACTCTTTCAAAGGTAAAGGGACCCCTGACCATTAGGTCCAGTCGTGATCGACTCTGGGGTTGCGGCGCTCATCTCACTTTATTGGCCGAGGGAGCCAGCGTTTGTCCGCAGACAGCTTCCGGGTAGCTGTGGTAACATGTGGCCAGCATGACTAAGCCACTTCTGGTGAACCAGAGCAGCACACGGAAATGCCGTTTACCTTCCCGCCGGAGCGGTACCTATTTATCTACTTGCACTTTGATGTGCTTTCGAACTGCTAGGTTGGCAGGCACAGGGACCGAGCAACGGGAGCTCACCTTGTTGCGGGGATTCAAACTGCCGACCTTCTGATCGGCAAGTCCTAGGCTCTGTGGTTTAACCCACAGCGCCACCTGCATCCCAATATCAATATTACAATCAATATTAGATCTTGGATGCTAGGCATTTGTTTCCCATTCCCTATGCCACCATGACAGCTGATCAGAAGAGGGAGCTGTATTCTTTCTAACCTTAGTCTAATATCCAACTGAAGTGAAGCCTAGGTACATCATGTAATTGCATTGGCTGCTCTCAATCATCAGTGGCTACCTTTGCTCCTCCTGTCTCTTTCCTCTCTTTGCTACCTCCCAGTTCTGCCATATTGAAATTTATATTCTGATATCATTGAGAACCAAGACTTTGTTGTTGTTGTTACTACACTATTAAGCATCACATTGTGATGAGTCCATCTATCTTCAGACAGTTCTGTCTCTACAGTTTGAAAATGGTCTGGCAATGTGCAGTAGCTCCAAAGTTTTATCATGTAATGTCCTTTTAGACCTAGAAAAGTGTGTGTGTGTGTATGTCTGTATGTATGTGTATGTGTATACATATATATACACACACACACACACACACACACACACACACATATATATATATATATATATATAGTGGTACCTCGGGTTACATACGCTTCAGGTTACAGACTCCACTAACCCAGAAATAGTACCTCGGGTTAAGTACTTTGCTTCAGGATGAGAACAGAAATTGTGCTCCGGCGGCCCAGCAGCAGCAGGAGGCCCCATTAGCTAAAGTGGTGCTTCAGGTTAAAAACAGTTTCAGGTTAAGAACGGACCTCCGGAACGAATTAAGTACTTAACCCGAGGTACCACTGTACATACATACATGCTGCAGCAGCTCTACTGTAGAAGCTAACTAAGTCTCTAAGATGATTTGATGGGTGTTCACCTGAACCTATATATGTAAGCTGCATATACAGAAATCTTCCCTGTTTAGCAGGGACAGTCCCTTTTTCCTGGTAAAACATTGTCCCTTTTCTTTTTGGGAGATTTTGGGAATGCTGTTTCAAAACTCTAGGTGAGTGCATAAATCTTGGAAAGCATCATTCTAGAGTTGCCATTCCTGTTTCATTCTCTTCATTCTCTAAGACTTGACAGGTAAAATTATTATGCCTGTCCCCAATGGCACTTTGAACAAATTTCCCAGATCTGTTCTATGCTCCCAGCACCATCTTCTAGTTCTTAGATCCCCATGAATGGATCTTCTGGAAACTGACACTGGTTTGATCCCTGGCTAAATAGAATGTATGCCTTTGTCCTGTTGACACTCACGAGCTGATTCCTTTGTATGGTTTTCTCTCTCCTTTGGTTATACTGGCCACTACCAAGGACTCATTCAGCAACTATGTCCTGTGATCAGTGAACAAAATATCAACTCAAGCCAATTAATTAATACATGTAATTCAATTTCTCATGTGTTATTGTAGTATTAAAACAAATTATTTTATTCCAAATTATTTCATGTAATTCCTAACTGAACATGCTGCTTGGTTATACATACTGTATATTATCAACAAAACCATAGCTTTGTTACTGAAACCACCCTTTTCTTTCTGAGCACTTGTCTCCTTGGTGCCTTCTGCAGAACTCATGGTAGCTACCAGACTGTTGCTACTTTGCAGTGGGATTGAATCGCACACTGGTAAATTCACATTGTAGAAGTGGATTTGCTGCTCTTTTGCAAGAAACCTGCCTCTTCCCACAAAGAAAATGGACTTTTTGTGCTAAGAAAAGTGCTCAAAAAGTACACTAGAAAGTATGGGATAGCAATTGTTTGATGCAATGTTGAAAAACATGCCCACAATTAAATCAGAATGAATGTTATATAAAGAGGTCATCTGGAAGCAACACAATTCATAGGACAAATGTCCCACATTTCCAATAGATGAGCCAGCCCCACCTACATGGTAATTATCTGAGAGTGCCTTGTAATTGTAAAGTGGATTTGTCCTACAGTGGGCTCCTTCAGGAGAGAAGAGGCCCTGTTCCATGTGTATGGAAATTAAGTAGTTTGTCCACTGCAAAAATGAAAATAACCAGATGGGAGATTATAAAAGAGACAAAGAAAAGGTGTCTGGCGCTTTGTGTGTTTATTTGACTGCTTTCTGTGTGCCTAACAGGAAGGAAAGCAAAAAGTGTAACAGATGGGTCAGTCTCACAGTATGGTTCAGCGTAATTCCTGTATATACTTTAATCCAGTCTGTCTGAGACCCTCACACATGTCTATACATTCTTTCACTGGATTTCCAAATATTCAAAGCTAAAGCTAATTCAGTCAAATGGAACAATATTATTGGGGTGGGGGACTAGGAATATTGATTACAGCATAAAAGGATAATACACAGACCGTATAGAAATAATAATCCGCTGTGCTATAAATATGATAGTTGCTGCATATTTTATAACACTAAGAACTCTTCCATCAACTCACTGTACAAATTACAGCCCTGTCCCGGCTCCTGTCCAACACACACACACACAGAGAGAGAGAGAGAGAGAGAGAGAGAGAGAGCAAGAAGCTCTTACTTGGATGTAGCAAAGACATTTTTATTCAGGCAACTAACAGTACCGGCTCAGCAGAGATCATGATTCAGGAATTCAGGAGCAGGACTAGAAGTTCAGAAATGGACAGAAGCAATGAAGATGTCCAAACAAGTTCCCCCACTCCTCCCACCAAGATTTCAATGAGAAGTATGGTGCACTCATTTGTGAGACTCTCTTTCCTTGTGGGAATGTCAGGATTGCAAGCATGCACTCCGTCATGGCAGGTGGGTCTGCTCCCACCTGGGAAAGCAACATTTGGTTCTAGGTGACAAGACTGTACCCTCCTGTTCGAGCTCCTATTCTGCTTCCTGCCTTGGCTGATCAAAGCCTTCCCCAGCCTCTACTGAGACTCTCTGCTCCTCAGGAAGGTCAGAGGGGGAAGCCAGCACCTCTGCTCCCCCTTCCACTGTTTCTGATGTACAAGTAGAAAGGGAAAATTCCCCTCCTCCAACTAAGGCCCCCCATTTCAGCCCCGTCCCCATTTCTTCCTCCTCTATCAAAGTCTGCCAACTCAAGCCTGATCCTAGCAGTGCTGTGGGTTTCATGACAGCCCCCTAATAAATCTGATTACATGATTAAGTGCAAGTTTAAATGTTTTCCTGGGCTGCTGTCTCAAAATTCTGTAATAAAACATGAGAACAGGAAAACTCTGTCATTGTCAAATGAGGACTTGTACTTGCATATCTTCAGTCTTGCATGCAATGCCAAAACATTCTCCTCCTGCTTTATTATTAATTCCAAATAATTTCATCTGTATTAGAAATATTTCAGATTGGTATTTATACTCCCCAACCTGTACTACGGAAATAAGTCTTTTTAACTAGGTACCACTTCCTTATTTGTGTCAAGGACTTTCCTTGTTACTAATCCTTTCTAAAGCTATATCATCCTACTGATGAGGCAAACATTCCCACGGAGAGCAAACTATAGGGCTTGAGCAGCCAGAATCTGCTCTCTGTCTTTATTTTGCATCTGTCTGGATTTTAAAGTGTAGAGTTATCCTATGCCCTAATCGTACACTGGGACAGGAGAAAGATGTCAGTGGAATTGCCACTCTATCCTAAACGTACTCAGCTCAAGAGGGGAGCTGCAAAACAGATAACCGGAAAACAGTGCAATAAATGGCAGATAACAACCCCCCAGCATCTTTGAAAACATTAACCACTGCCCACAAAACCAATGACATCTCGTGTCACCCAAACACGGAGGGAGCCAATGAACTCAGGGAGGCAGGGGACACATTCTACTAGCCCACCTCCGGGCATCATAGCACATACAGCAATGCAACACTGCCTGTTCCCGCTTACACACACAGCAATGGCATCACCCTTGCTCCTGCTTACAAAGTAACTGAAGTCAGGGTAGAAGGGGTGATCCCCTCTCCTCCATCCCACCAGTGGCGAAGGAACCCTCTCCGGCACCCAGGGTGGGACGCTGAGGAGCAGGGTGAACCTGCCTGGTGATGCATGTGTGACATCCCGTATGGAGTGTGCATGCGCAGCAGCCTGTACGGTCGCTGTGCGAGAGGCAGCCCATATGGGCGGCGAGAGCGGGAGCCCGTACTGACGCCGCATGAGCGGTGTCCATACTGACTGTGCGCACCCTCAACCACTCTACAGCTGGGGGAAGGCAGGGGCCATCTTGTCACCCCCCCAAGTGGCACCCAGGGCGATCCGCCCCCTCCGCCCCCCACTTTGTACGCCCCGGCATCCCACACACCCCAATTCAGACCCCTCCCTCTGTTTCCTCTTCCTCCTCTTCCATCAGAGCCTGCCAATCGAAACCTGATTCTAACAGTGTTGTGGGGCTCATGACACACCCACCCACCCCACTTTAATGGTTTGGCTTGCTCTTTTAAACATTGAATATACTTACACTGGAGAGGTTAAGGCATGATAAACTCCACCCCAAAGGGCTTGAACTTCCTTTTATCAAATACTGTATATACAACACCAAAGTGAACTAAAGAGTCACTGTGGGTCAATAACCTTTACTGAGTGGTTGTTTTTTGTGTGTAATGGTGAGGGGTGGTCCGCCACACATCGGTAGTGCATTCTCCAGACTGCAGTAATCTGAAATTGTAAAATAAACCACTTTCCAAGCTTGAATTAAGTTCCACCTTGGCACATGCTGGAAAATGATTGTTTGAACTTCCATTGGGTCACAGGTTTCCTTTAGTAATTTCCCAGCCAGGCCTACTTTTCATTACAAATACACCATGTGGTACAAAATATAGTTTTAGTCTGATAAACTATCTTTCAATCTGATGCTGTTACACATGGATCATGTTAGTACACCAAATAATGTAAATATGCCCTTACTCAAGTGTGGAAATTGTTGCATCTCACAGGACACTAGCATAATTAATTGCAGAGAAAGAAGGTAGATGAGATATCTGTACTAACTCTTTATAGCAGAATTTGTAGACCACGTATATAGTTGCAGAGGCTACTTAGACACAAATGTACATTAGCTGGAGAATAGGCTACGCTCTCCTTATAAGAACTTGCTCTGTTTTCATACTTTGAAGTTCTACTGTGGTGCCAAAATCAATACTTGGCAGCTGGGTTCAAAAGACAGGAATCTCCTCATTTTTCAATGTACATACTTTTGAATCTTATTAATAAAAGAAAGTGCATTTGATAAAATTAAAACCAGTTTGTCTGGTTGGGCATGTGTGTATTTTTTGCTGCAGAAAATCTCATGCCTACATTTAAAAGTATGAAGGAAAGTTGGTGTTCTGTTAGTGCTGGTATTGTTGTTTAATTGTTTTTTTTAGGGGGGATTCAAGTAAATATTAATTAAATAACTAGTTGTCAATTACAATTGAATCTAGTGATAATGCTTTTGGGAAATTCAAACATCAGGTTCAGAGCAATGAAGATTTTGGTTATTCATATGCTGATAGCTGCCTGCATAATGATCACAAGGACATGGAAATAGATAGAATACCCTTAATAGGCTAATGGAAGAAGAACATCAGAACTTGATAGTATTGAATCAAATAATGTAATATAAACAATTATGCAATGAATGAAT